CGTGACCTCAAAGGCTTACATGAAATCATCGATAGCAATCGCCACCCAGGCTGGTACCGAAGCTACCACAGACAAGTTGCTACCGTAGAGAATCACAATCGCCATCCCGGGCTGGTACCGAAGCTACAGCTGACCCGTCGCTACCGTAGAGAATCACAATCGCCACCCAGGCTGGTACCAAAGCTACAGCTGACCCGTCGCTATCGTAGAGAATCACAATCGCCACCCAGGCTGGTACCGAAGCTACAGCTGACCCGTCGCTATCGTAGAGAATCACAATCGCCACCCAGGCTGGTACCGAAGCTACAGCTGACCCGTCGCTATCGTAGAGAACCACAATCGCCACCCAGGCTGGTACCAAAGCTACAGCTGACCCGTCGCTATCGTAGAGAATCACAATCGCCACCCAGGCTGGTACCGAAGCTACAGCTGACCTGTCGCTACCGTAGAGAATCACAATCGCCACCCAGGCTGGTACCGAAGCTACAGCTGACCCGTCGCTACCATAGAGAATCACAATCGCCACCCAGGCTGGTACCGAAGCTACCACAAACCCGTCGCTATCGTAGAGAACCACAATCGCCACCCAGGCTGGTACCGAAGCTACAGCTGACCCGTCGCTATCGTAGAGAATCACAATCGCCACCCAGGCTGGTACCGAAGCTACAGCTGACCCGTCGCTATCGTAGAGAATCACAATCGCCACCCAGGCTGGTACCGAAGCTACAGCTGACCCGTCGCTATCGTAGAGAATCACAATCGCCACCCAGGATGGTACCGAAGCTACAGCTGACCCGTCGCTACCGTAGAGAATCACAATCGCCACCCAGGCTGGTACCAAAGCTACAGCTGACCCGTCGCTATCGTAGAGAATCACCATCGCCACCCAGGCTGGTACCGAAGCTACAGCTGACCCGTCGCTATCGTAGAGAATCACAATCGCCACCCAGGCTGGTACCGAAGCTACAGCTGACCCGTCGCTACCGTAGAGAATCACAATCGCCACCCAGGCTGGTACCAAAGCTACCACAGACAAGTCGCTATCGTAGAGAACCACAATCGCCACCCAGGCTGGTACCAAAGCTACCACAGACAAGTCGCTACCGTAGAGAATCACAATCGCCACCCCAGGCTGGTACCGAAGCTACAGCTGACCCGTCGCTATCATAGAGAACCACAATCGCCACCCCGGGCTGGTACCAAAGCTACAGCTGACCCGTCGCTATCGTAGAGAATCACAATCGCCATCCCGGGCTGGTACCGAAGCTACAGCTGACCCGTCGCTATCGTAGAGAATCACAATCGCCACCCAGGCTGGTACCAAAGCTACCACAGACAAGTCGCTACCGTAGAGAACCACAATCGCCATCCCGGGCTGGTACCGAAGCTACAGCTGACCCGTCGCTATCGTAGAGAATCACAATCGCCACCCAGGCTGGTACCAAAGCTACCACAGACAAGTCGCTACCGTAGAGAACCACAATCGCCATCCCGGGCTGGTACCGAAGCTACAGCTGACCCGTCGCTACCGTAGAGAATCACAATCGCCACCCAGGCTGGTACTGAAGCTCCCACAGACTCGTCACTAAAGTAGAGAATCACCATCGCCACCCAGGCTGGTACCGAAGCTACAGCTGACCCGTCGCTACCGTAGAGAATCACAATCGCGACCTAAAAGGCTTCAATAAAATCTTCGATAGCAATCGCCATCCCGGGCTGGTACCGAAGCTACCACAAACCCGTCGCTACCGTGGAGAATCACAATCGTGACCTCAAAGGCTTACATGAAATCATCGATAGCAATCGCCACCCAGGCTGGTACCGAAGCTACCACAAACCCGTCGCTATCGTAGAGAATCACAATCGCCATCCCGGGCTGGTACCGAAGCTACAGCTGACCCGTCGCTATCGTAGAGAATCACAATCGCCATCCCGGGCTAGTACCGAAGCTACAGCTGACCCGTCGCTATCGTAGAGAATCACAATCGCCACCCAGGATGGTACCGAAGCTACAGCTGACCCGTCGCTATCGTAGAGAATCACCATCGCCACCCAGGCTGGTACCGAAGCTACAGCTGACCCGTCGCTATCGTTGAGAATCACAATCGCCACCCAGGCTGGTACCGAAGCTACAGCTGACCCGTCGCTATCATAGTGAATCACAATCGCCACCCAGGCTGGTACCGAAGCTACAGCTGACCCGTCGCTATCGTTGAGAATCACAATCGCCACCCAGGCTGGTACCGAAGCTACAGCTGACCCGTCGCTACCGTAGAGAATCACAATCGCCACCCAGGCTGGTACCGAAGCTACAGCTGACCCGTCGCTATCGTGGAGAATCACAATCGCCACCCCGGGTTTGGACCGATTAATCCATTGGAGGGCCGGGTCGGTGAATGGCGCCGGTCGGTGGCGGCGGCCGGGGGTTTCATTCGGGGTGGGTGTTGGTGTGGGTGTTCGTGTGTGGGTGTTGGTGTGGGTGTTGGTGTGTGGGTGTGGGTGTGGGTGGGTGTTGGTTTGGGTGTTGGTGTGGGTGTTGGTGTGGGTGGGTGTTGGTGTTGGTGTGGGTGTTGGTGTGGGTGGGTGTTGGTGTTGGTGTGGGTGTTGGTGTGCGTGTTGGTGTGTGGGTGGGTGGGTGTTGGTGTTGGTGTGGGTGGGTGTTGGTGTGGGTGGGTGTTGGTGTGGGTGGGTGTTGGTGTGGGTGTGGGTGTTGGTGTGGGGAGTGATAGTGTAGTGGTTAGCGCTATGCTGCGCTATGAACCTGGCGACCCGGGTTCGATTCCCGCTCACGGCCAACACCAGTGACGATTATCTGAACCGGTCTCGGGCCTCCCCTAGGTCGACTCAGCCTCAAATGAGTACCTGGTGCGGTGTGTAAACATCGCCACTAGGGAGACAAAGGCGGTCGGGCGTGGTGCTGGCCACCCACCCCCTCGTGTACCGTTCCGGCCTTCATAGGTGCTCGCTAACAGCACTTGCCCCTACAGTCTGTTAAGGCTATATGGGGGATCTTTGTTCTTTGTTTGTTGGTGTGGGTGGGTGTTAGTGTTGGTGTGGGTGGGTGTGGGTGTGGGTGTTGGTGTGGGTGGGTGGGTGTTGGTGTGAGTGTGTGGGTGGGTGGTTGTTGGTGTTGGTGTTGGTGTGGGTGGGTGTTGGTGTGGGTGGGTGTTGGTGTGGGTGGGTGTTGGTGTTCGTGGGTGTTGGTGTGGGTGTTGGTGTGGGTGGGTGTTGGTGTGGGTGTTGGTGTTGGTGTTGGTGTGGGTGGGTGTGGGTGTGGGTGTTGGTGTGGGTGGGTGGGTGTTGGTGTGAGTGTGTGTGGGTGTTGGTGTGAGTGTGTGGGTGGGTGGGTGTTGGTGTGGGTGTTGGTGTGGGTGTGGGTGGGTGTTGCTCTTGGTGTTGGTGTGTGTGGGTGTTGGTGTGAGTGTGTGGGTGGGTGGGTGTTGATGTGGGTGTTGGTGTGGGTGTGGGTGGGTGTTGCTCTTGGTGTTGGTGTGTGTGTGTGTGTGGGTGTTGGTGTGAGTGTGTGTGAGGGGTGTGGTGAGTGGTGTGGGTGTGGTGAGTGGAGTGAGTGTGTGTGTGCGGAGTGATAGTGTAGTAGCGGTTAGCGCTACGCTGCGCTATGAACCCGGCGACCCGGGTTCGATTCACCGCTCACGGCCAACACCGCCGGCGACGATTATCTGCACCGGTCCCGGGCCTCCCCTAGGTCGACTCGGCCTCAAATGAGTACCTGGTGTAGCGGTGTGTAGTAAACATCGCCACTGGGGGAGACAAAGGCGGCCGGGCGTGGTTGCTGGCCACCCACCCCCTCGTGTGCCGTTCCGGCCTTCATAGGTGCTCGCTAACAGCACTTGCCCCTACAGCCTGTTAAGGCTACACGGGGGATCTTTGTCTGTGTGTGTGTGTAGGTGCTGCTACTCGCTACTAACACAGCACTTGCCCCTACAGCCCTGTTAGAGGCTAAACGGGGGATCTTTGTCTGTGTGTGTAGGTGCAGCTACTCGCTACTGACAGCACTTGCCCCTACAGCCCTGTTAGAGGCTACACGGGGGATCTTTGTCTGTGTGTGTGTGTGTGTAGGTGCTGCTACTCGCTACTAACAGCACTTGCCCCTACAGCCCTGTTAGAGGCTACACGGGGGATCTTTATGTGTGTGTGTAGGTGCTGCTACTCGCTACTAACACAGCACTTGCCCCTACAGCCCTGTTAGAGGCTACACGGGGGACCTTTGTCTTTGTGTGTGTAACAGCACTTGCCCCTACAGTCCTGTTAGAGGCTACACGGGGGACCTTTGTCTGTGTGTGTAGGTGCTACTCGCTACTAACACAGCACTTGCCCCTGCAGCCCTGTAACAGGCTACACGGGGGAGCTTTGTCTTTGTGTGTGTAACAGCACTTGCCCCTACAGCCCTGTAACAGGCTACACGGGGGATCTTTGTCCATGTCTGTGTGTGTGTGTAGGTGTTGCTACTCGCTACTAACACAGCACTTGCCCCTACAACCCTGTTAGAGGCTACATGGGGGACCTTTGTCTGTGTCTGTGTGTGTATGTAGGTGCTGCTACTCGCTACTAACACAGCACTTGCCCCTACAGCCCTGTTACAGGCTACACGGGGGATCTTTGTCTTTGTGTGTGTAACAGCACTTGCCCCTACAGCCCTGTTAGAGGCTACACGGGGGATCTTTGTCTTTGTGTGTGTGTAACAGCACTTGCCCCTACAGCCCTGTTAGAGGCTACACGGGGGACCTTTGTCTTTGTGTGTGTAACAGCACTTGCCCCTACAGCCCTGTTAGAGGCTACACGGGGGACCTTTGTCTTTGTGTGTGTGTGTAACAGCACTTGCCCCTACAGCCCTGTTAGAGGCTACACGGGGGATCTTTATGTGTGTGTGTAGGTGCTGCTACTCGCTACTAACACAGCACTTGCCCCTACAGCCACTGTTAGAGGCTACACGGGGGACCTTTGTCCGTGTCTGTCTGTCTGTGTGTGTGTGTGGGTACCAGAACAGGGACGTTGATGGTGGTGAACATGAAGTCGTCCGAGGCGATGGACCGCTCACGGCTGAAGCGGTAGTGACGGTACTCGCGATAGCTCACAGTGCCGTTCTCGTTGAAGGTGATGTTGGCTTTCTTGCGGTACTCCCTGAAGTGGGTGGGAATTGGTGGGGGGGGTGGGGGGAGGTTGGTGGGGGGGGGGTGAGTGATGATGATGCTGGCTAAACCACCCAACAATATCCCAACAGAACCAACCATCTAGCAATAGACGCATACACCCGCTCGCTCATACACAGATACAACACCAACAACAACAACAACCGCCATTCGCCACTAAGCGGCGGTGATGTCACCACGACGCTTGTGCCAGGCCACGTGCACCTTGAGGCTTTCACGTGAAGTGTCGAACGCCCGCTGGCAGGAGGTCACGGGGCAGACCCAGGTGCCACGGGTCGACTGACTGAGATGACTGGCTGATGCACCACCTGTGCCACCTACTGTGCCAACCTGCTGTGTTTTAGCCACCCGGCGCTCCGCTCGTTGTTGTGAGCGTCGCTCCTCCGCCCTCCGTTGTTGTTGGAGGGCGACTGCCTCCAGCTGCCCAGTAGCATCCTTCACGAGCCTCCTCCACAGAGGCCGATCTTGACACCGCTGGTACCGGTCATCGGCAAGTCCACTCAGCTTTTAGCCCCCTCTTTAAGAAGGGGGACCGCACAGACTGTAACAACTACAGGGGCATCTCACTCCTCAGTGTGCCGGGAAAGGTCCTGGCAAGGATTATTCAACATCGCCTTGCCAGGCACGCTGAGGAGAGGCTTGCGGAGCCCCAATGCGGTTTCAGGAAAGGGCGGTCCTGCACACAGATGCCATATTTTCTGTCCGTCTGCTACAGCAGAGGTGTAGGGAACTCCAACAAGACCTACATCTCTGCTTTATTGACCTGGTCAAGACCTGTGATACCATCAGTAGGCCTGGGCTCTGGGTTGTTCTTCGTGCTTTCGGAGTCCCTGACCCTCTGCTCACGATCATTAAGGACCTTCATGATGGTGAGCGGGCCCGGGTAAAACTGCGTGGCCGGGAGTCGGAGCCATTCCCTATTCACCTTGGGGTGCGACAGGGATGTCCTCTGGCTGCCACAAAATTTAACATCTATTTCGACCACGTAGTTCGTGAAGCCTTCAATAGCTGTACCAGACAAATTTCCATCTGGTACAGATACAATGGGAGGCTGATCAGCATAATTCCAATCCTGCGGAACCCGTCCAGTGGTCCAGACCGTTGTTATGGTGTCATGTAGGGCAGTCTGTGCACAAACGCCACCCTCCCTCAGCATTTCGCTTGGAAGATCATCTCTGCAAGCTGCCTTTCCTGGTCTCAGACTCCGGATCGCCTTCAGTACTTCCTCAACAGATGGCACCTCAGCCAGCCACTCACAGGGGATGACTTCTTCAAATATTTGAGGCACCGCAGCCTCAGCAGGGTCATCCCCACTTTGTCCCATGTTGTTTTCCAGGCTGAGGGATTTCCCCTTCCCCAGGACCTCACAGAAATGTCCAGCAAATCTGAAATCCTGCTCCTGGGGGTTGGAGATTGGATCACCATTCTCCCCCCTAATGATGGTAATAAGTGTGGCGCTGCAGGTTACTTTTTTGATGGAATTAAAGAGCGATTTGTGATCGCGGGCCATTGAGGCAGACTCCATCTCCTCAGCAACCCGCGACCACCATTCATCCTTGCAGTGCCTCACGGCTCTCCGAACCTCCGAGCGAAGGCTGCGGTAAGCCTCCTCATTCTCCAACGTGAGATGCTGTAGACGATGACAGTGGGCCTGTCGATTTTTGTCAACCATCCTGAACACCTCCTCTGTCAGCCAGGGTCTCTGGGGAGGTCTGGACCTTGTACCCAAAGCAGCCATTGCAGCTGCATGAGCCACAGTCCTAAACCTCGCCCATTTCCCCTCGACATCAGGAGGAGTGGGGGACGATGCCAACTCCAGCCGCAAGCGATGATGAAATTCTCGCTTGCAACTTTCATCAGCTAGCTGAGACCAGGCCACCTTAGGTGTGAATTGGGTCCTGGGTGTACACCCACCACCGGAGTGGAAGAATGGCAGGCGCATCTTACAGATGGCAAGTCGATGGTCAGAGGGCAGATCAGCTCCACGGTAGGTCCTGGTGTCAAGGACATGGGCTCGCATCCGCTGGTTCGTCACTATGTAGTCCAGCAGATGTTCTTGCTTGGACCCGGCATGCATCCATGATGTTGTGTGGATGTGCCTATGCCGGAACAGCGTGTTGGTAATTACAAGCCCATGGGCTGCACAAAAATCTAGCAGCCTCCTACCGTTGTTATTGAGCTGATCTGGCCCATGCCTTTCAATCACTCCAAACCAGGTGCCAGCATCATGACCAACTCGGGTATTTAAGTCACCCAACAAGATGACTCTATCCCGAGGGTCCACTTTAGCAAGCACCTGTGACAGGAGGTCACAGAAGGCATCTGACTCATCGGCCTTGCCGGCATCCCTCCACGGAGATTCGGTTTCAGTAACCACGACCACCACTCCTCGCCTCTGGTTGATGGGAAGGCGAGCCCAAAGTAGCCTGGGGCTTACAGCTTCCCACACCTCACCGCCACGCTCCCACGCCCCCTTCATTCTTTTGTTCAAAAGTAGAGCCACTCCCTGTTGTTTGGCAGTCTGCTGCCCCGAGTAGAGGACTGTCCACCCCTCATGGTGGCAGGAGCCAGAGCCGGTCCACCGGACCTCCCGAATACCGCAGAGATCCAGGCGGTACCGGTCCAGCTCCCGACAGAGGAGTGGGCAGCCTCTCCTCCGCAGCGAGCGTTCGAACATTCCACGTCGCCACACGTAGCGGCTTTTTGCTGTTTCTGGAGGAGCCCCGAGGGTAGAGATTCAATCTCCTGGCTCCGCCAATTGGGGTTTGGCCAGGAGACGTCATAGACGCCTGTCCCCCCGGGGCCTCCGGCACGAGCTTATTAGTTACATATTTCATTCGTGGTTTAGTGGTAGTTAATTGAAGGTGGAGGGGTTACCAGCCCCTCGCACCCGTCCAGAGCCCCCATTTGGCCCCTGTGGTGGTTACAGACGCCATGAGGGGATTGGCCAATCGGAATTGGCCCTCGCTCCCCACGGCACTTCCCACCACAGCGTTGCCGTCCGGCAACAACGAGAAAAGTAGGGGGTTGTTTTATCCACACAAAGATAAAGATCCCCCGTGTAGCCTGTAACAGACTGTAGGGGCAAGTGCTGTTAGCGAGCAGCACCTATGAAGGCCGGAACGGTACACGAGGGGGGTGGGTGGCCAGCACCACGCCCGACCGCCTTTGTCTCCCCAGTGGCGATGTTTACTACACCGCACCAGGTACTCATTTAAGGCTGAGTTGACCTAGGGGAGGCCCGGGACCGGTTCAGATAATCGTCACTGGTGGTGTTGGCCGTGAGCGGGGAATCGAACCCGGGTCGCCAGGTTCATAGCGCAGCGTAGCGCTAACCGCTACACTATCACTCCCCACACAGACACACAGACACACACTCACACACAACCCCACCCACCACCACTCCACCACCCACCACTCCACCACCCACCACTCCACCCACACCACCCACACCACCCACCACCACAACACCCCACCAACCATCCACCCAACCCCACCACACCACCCACCCCACCCACACACACACAACCCCACCCACCCACCACCACTCCACCACCCACACCCACCCACCCAACCCCACCACCACCCACCCCACCACCACCCACCCCACCCACACCCACCCACCCTCCCCACCCCACCCACACCCACCCCACCCACCCCACCCACCCCACCACCACCCACCACCACCCACCCACACCCACCCACCCAACCCCACCACCACTCGACCCTACCACCACCACCCACCCCAGGCCACACCACCACACTCCACCACCACCACTCGACCCCATCCACACCCACCCACCCCACCCTCTCCACACCCACCCCACCCACCACCACCCACCCACACACACCCACCCACCCAACCCCACCACCACTCGACCCTACCACCACCACCCACCCCAGGCCACACCACCACACTCCACCACCACTCGACCCCACCCACACCCACCCACCCCACCCACCCCACCCACCACCACCCACCACCACCCACCGATAGACAAAGGGCCCGCGCTGGACAAGACTCGGCTTGTTTCCGCTGACGACCTGTCGGGGGTTGGCGACCTCCCACACGTACACGGACATGTAGAACGCGACGGGGACCTCCTTCCAGATGTCGTACGTGAAGCCACCCTCACGGAGTTGCACGTTCTGGGGGAGGGGGGGTGGTGGTGTGTGGGTGAGGGTGGTGGTGGTGTGGGTGCGTGTGGGTGTGTGAGTGGTGTGGTGGTGTGGGTGTGTGAGTGGTGTGGTGGTGGTGTGGGTGTGTGAGTGGTGTGGTGGTGTTGTGTGAGTGGTAGTGTTGTGTGGGTGAGTGGTGGTGGTGGTGTTGTGTGGGTGCGTGGTGGGGGTGTGCGTGGGTGGTGGTGGGGGTGTTGTGTGGGTGGTGGTGGGGGTGTTGTGTGGGTGGTGGTGGGGGTGTGCGTGGGTGTGTGAGTGGTGGTGTTGTGGGTGGTGTGGGTGGGTGTGTGGGTGGTGGTGTTGTGTGGTGGTGGTGTGTGTGGGTGGTGGTTTGGGTGGGGGGTGGTGTGAGTGGGTGTGTGAGTGGTGGTGGTGGTGGTGGTGTTGTGTGGTGTGGGTGTGTGAGTGGTGGTGTTATGTGAGTGGTGGTGTTGTGTGGGTGGGTGGGTGGTGGTGTTGAGTGGGTGGTGGTGGGGGTGGGTGGTGTGAGTGGTGGTGTTGTGGGTGGTGGTGGGGGTGGGTGGTGGTGTTGTGTGAGTGGGTGTGTGAGTGGTGGTGTTGTGTGGGTGGTGGTGTGGGTGGGTGGTGGTGTTGTGTGAGTGGTGTTGTGTGGGTGTGTGTGGGTGGTGGTGTGGGTGGTGGTGTGGGTGTGTGAGTGGTGTGGGTGGTGTGAGTGGTGTGTGTGTGTGTGGTGTGTGTGTGTGTGTGGGTGGTGGTGTGGGTGGTGGTGTGTGAGTGGTGGTGTGTGAGTGGTGGTGTGTGAGTGGTGGTGTGTGTTGGTGGGTGGTGGTGTGGGTGGTGTGGGTGGTGTTGTGTGGGTGGTGTGGGTGGTGTGGGTGGTGGTGTGGGTGGGTGGGTGGTGGTGTGGGTGGTGGTGTGTGAGTGGTGGTGTGTGTGTGTGGTGGTGTGGGTGGTGGTGTGGGTTGGTGGTGGTGTGTGTGTGTGAGTGGTGGTGTGCGTGGGTGTGTGAGTGGTGGTGTGGGTGGTGTTGTGTTGTGTGGTGTGTGTGTGGGTGGTGGTGTGGGTGGTGGTGTGTGAGTGGTGGTGTGTGTTGGTGGGTGGTGTTGTGTGGGTGGTGGTGTGAGTGGGTGGTGTGGGTGGTGTTGTGTGAGTGGTAGTGGTGTGTGAGTGGTGGTGTGTGTTGGTGGGTGGTGTTGTGTGGTGTGTGTTTGTGTGGGTGGTGGTGTGTGTGTGTGTGTGGGTGGTGGTGTGGGTGGTGGTGTGTGTTGGTGGGTGGTGGTGTGGGTGGTGTTGTGTGAGTGGTGGTGTGTGTTGGTGGGTGGTGTTGTGTGAGTGGTGGTGTGTGTTGGTGGGTGGTGGTGCGGGTGGTGTTGTGTGAGTGGTGTGTGTGTGTGGGTGGTGGTGTGTGTTGGTGGGTGGTGTTGTGTGGGTGGTGGTGTGGATGGGTGGTGTGGGTGGTGTTGTGTGAGTGGTGGTGTGTGTTGGTGGGTGGTGGTGTGGGTGGTGTTGTGTGAGTGGTGTGTGTGTGGGTGGTGGTGTGTGTGTGTGGGTGGTGGTGTGTGTGTGTGTGGTGTGTGTGGGTGGTGGTGTGTGTGTGTGGGTGGTGGTGTGTGTGTGTGTGTGTGGTGTGTGTGGGTGGTGGTGTGTGTGGTGTTGTGTGAGTGGTGGTGTGTGTGTGTGGTGGTGTGAGTGGTGGTGTGTGGTGGTGTGTGTGTGAGGAGGGATGAGAAGAAGATTCCCACATGACTACCACACCAACCATCTCCAGCCAGCAGACACAGGAGATGTTGACTACCTCGCCTGATACACAGGACTCCAAATATACTGCATACCAGGCGAGGCCGTCAGCCATCATCAGGGTCCGGGATCGAACCCACGACCTCCTGTGTACCAGGCGAGGCCGTCAGCCATCATCAGGGTCCGGGATCGAACCCACGACCTCCTGTGTACCAGGCGAGGTAGTTAACATCACAAATCCAAATATACAGCAGCAGCTACAGCCATCGTCAGCATCCGGGATTGAACCCACGACCTCCTGTGTAGCAGGCGAGGTAGTTAACATCACAAATCCAAATATACAGCAGCAGCTACAGCCATCGTCAGCATCCGGGATTGAACCCACGACCTCCTGTGTAGCAGGTGAGGTAGTCAGCTATCATCAGGGTCCAGGATCGAACCCACGACCTCCTGTGTACCAGGTGAGGTAGTCAGCTATTGTCAGGGTCCGGGATCGAACCCACGACCTCCTGTGTACCAGGCGAGGTAGTCAACATCTCACCACGGAGAGAGAGACTCAGACTCCACATATACAGCAGCAGCAGGCATCGTCAGGGTCTGGGATCGAACCCACGACCTCCTGTGTACCAGGCGAGGTAGTCAGCTATTGTCAGGGTCCGGGATCGAACCCACGACCTCCTGTGTACCAGGCGAGGTAGTCAACATCGTCAGGGTCCGGGATCGAACCCACGACCTCCTGTGTACCAGGCGAGGTGGTCAACATCTCACCACGGAGAGAGAGACTCAAACTCCACATATACAGCAGCAGCAGGCATCGTCAGGGTCTGGGATCGAACCCACGACCTCCTGTGTACCAGGCGAGGTAGTCGACATCTCCTAGGCAACGTGGGCCTGGGGATTACGCAACCGCCCTGCAAACGACGCCAACCAACACCACCACCACCACCACGTTGTTGACCGTGACGTCGCCGGCCATTGTGACGTCATTGCAGGGGGCATTGTGACGTCGCCGGAAGTGGCGTCGCTCGCTGATTGGCTGCCCGTGGAGATGAAATCTGCACCCAAAGCACCCTGGGTAGCCTCTTACAGGCTGTTGGGGGCAAGGGCTGTGAGGTGGTGGTGGTGGTGGTTGTGGTGGTTGTGGTGGTGGTTGTAGTCGTGGTGATGGTGGTGGTTGTGGAGGTGGTGGTCGTGGTGGTTGTGGTGGTGGTGATTGTAGTTGTGGTGGTTGTGGTGGTCGTGGTGGTTGTGGTGGTGGTTGTGGTTGTGGTGGTGGTGGTGGTTATAGTCGTGGTGGTGGAAGTGGTTGTGGTGGTGGTTGTGGTGGTGGTGGTTGTGGTGGTGGTTGTGGTGATGGTTGTGGTGGTGGTGGTTGTGGTGGTTGTGGTGGTGGTTGTGGTGGTGGTTGTGGTGGTGGTAGTGGTGGTGGTTGTGGTGGTGGTTGTGGTGGTG